GTGTCTTCAGGCAAGGAATGGAAACAGCCGGTAAAGATGGTTGATTTGTTTTAATAACAAAAACGTCAAACAAAACAGTTCCAACAATAAAGCAAAATATAACGACTGGAGAAGTATTCAATGAAAACTCATACAACAGTTGTTAATACACAGATCCTCTCAAGAATAACTTCTATGTATCATTAGTTGTTTACGCTTATATACCTTGTGTGGGGGGAGTGGTTTTCAACTTCCCAGGTGTGTGTTTAAATGTTGTAGGCCAATGGAAGAGAGAGGCTAAGCCTCTTGTGGCCAATCATATTATTGTTCTTGTATCATGGTTATGCCTGCAGTCGCCACTATGTGGCACTGCTGTTCCATGATTCAGCAGGTTTGGAGGACATGTTTATGAACCTTTTGTTGCTGAGATCAAAAAGGAATGGATGGAACAGGGGTTCGCTGTGAATGTGCATTTGGAGGTTTCCCATTGTTCCCATGGAGTAAAGGTGTTTTAGAGCTGTCTGGAGAGTTGGTGTGAAGAGAATTTGGGGGAAATTCTCTTCTGAATGTGTGGGGCTATGTGACTGTGTGTGCTCAGGATGCCTTTTGGTCTCTTAGCAGCTTCCTGCTGCAGACCCAACCAAATGTGAAAACCACTGAAATCTAACACAGCAAAGTTAATCTGACGCAGCTGAAAACAATTGAAACAAAATGATTTTAAGAGGATATTTTAAGGTTGATTCCAATTCTTATTTCAAACTGTAGAGTCTTTTAAGACAAATATGTTTTGTGAATTTGAGCTATAAAAAAGATTTACTTGAGATTCTAGTTTTTTATGTGATGTCACAGATGTGAAATATGCATTTTCACTGTGTTGCATCTCTTCATTACTCCAGGTCTGTGTTTGCCCTCAAAGTGTTTCAAAACAGCTTCTGTTCCATTTCTCACCATGTATGTATCCTGCTTTTCTTTTCAGGTATCTGCAAGAAAATAGAGTGGCTTGTGAAATGGGTCTTTACTATGTCCTCCACATTGCCAAACTACGGAACAAGAATGCCTTGCTGAGGTTACTGCCTGCTCTAGGTAAATTATATCGTTTTTATTGTTTTTTATTACAGTCTTGGATCTTTCTATTATGAGAGAATTGTTTTAAAATATTACCCAGAGGATTGTCTCTATATTGTATATATGGCCTACATAGCCTGAATCACACTTCCCATATTTTCTCATAATGAGTCTGGGTTTGTGTGTGTAATTTACAGTTGAAGTAATGTACTCGTTTATTGCATTAATCCATCATCACAGCAAAAGAAAATAAACACACATTAGACATTCTTGGCAAATGTACAGTCCTATGCATGTGTGGTCCTGGGTCTGTTTTACGTTCAGTAAGCATTTGGCTTTTCCCCTAAATCATAAGCTCTGTAATGTAATAATTAAAATAGCAAACAATTCAATATTTGACCTATTAAGCAGCATTTCTATTTGTCTTGAAGATTTGCTTTTCAGACAATATTGCAATATGCCTGCTGCTTATGCTTAATCCCATGCCTTTAATTTGGGAAAACCATTAATTATTGATTAATTATTGATTATTGATTAATTAACCTAAGAAAAGGTTAAAGAAAACTTAAAGTTCCCTTAATATGTATACTGTATATAATCTCTACAACCTTTCATTCCAATACATTTGTTTTCCATTTTAAATTTAAGAGACTGTTAACTACTTAAAGAAACATGCACAAAATAACACAAAAATGCATTTAATTGCAGATTACAATTATTGTCATGTCCCACTACCACTTTCAGTAGTTGATGAAGAAACAGGGTGCAGAAAAGTTGATACAGTATATGGGAAATGTATACACTCTGAATGACCTTGGACTCTAAAAACAGCACACCACTACACACAACAAAATGTGACCTCTGTTTTTAACCCATCACAAAGTGAACAGCAGGCAGCTTTTAAGCACCCAGGGAGCAGTGTGTGGGGACGTTGCCATGCTCAGAGCACCTCAGTAGTAACTTGGCAGCTGGTGAACTCAAACCTGAAGCCTTCCGGACTCAAGTCCGCTTCCTTAACCACTAAGCCACAATTGCTTCAAAACTTGGTTATAGATGCCACTAGGTAGGTGGCAATGCCCTAACCATATATGAGTTGAAGGCCACTTGGGCCTCTTCCATCTTTTTCAAGGGGAGTGCTAACCTTCTCTCCTTTCATACAACACAGAATAGAATAGAAAGATTTTATTGCCATTCCTCTTTCCAGAATCTCTCTAAATTCTACAAGTTTTTTGCCTACCACTTGAAAGCTTGAAGCTTCAGCTCCCTCCTGAGGTTTTGTAGGCCACTCCATGACCTTAATTTGCTTCTTGTTGAGCCACACTATTGTTGCCCTGGCAGTATGTGTTGGGTCATTGCCCTGCTAGAAGACCCACCTATGAGACATCAAGTGTTTGATTGATCATGTTGACTGTAGGGATTAAGGGTGTACCATCTATAGCACCTCACCATTCATTCCGATTAGGATTCAGGGTGCTATTCAATTCTATTATTTAATGATTATCATGATTTTAACAATTTTTTTGACTACTTTAAACTGATAAACGTGATTTTAACTTTTTTTTTTTGACTACTTTAAACTGATAAACAATGTATGTGTATACGTTAATTCATTAATTAAAGTAACAAAAGAACTTTACCTGGTGTGATATGATCCATATTTGGCGTGGGGAACAGAGACGCTCCCCGTTTGTGTACAGACTGCAAACTCCCGTATTAACCAGAGGTGGAAAGTAATAATTTACGTTTACTCAAGTTACTGTAATTGAGTAGTTTTTTGTGTTCAATAAGTAGTTTTAGGTATAGATAATTATATATATATAACATTATTATATAATACTTTTACTTAAGTCCATTTTGACTCAAGCATTTTACTGCTACATAGAAAAAGTACCCATTACTGAGTAAAAAATTTAATGCTGAGAAAAACAATGTGCGTTAACTTAAAGAGTTTCCCACTTGAATTTCCCACTATTAATTTAGCCAGATAACAAAATTGATTAAGAGACAGACTCTGGCCTGTCGTTGGATGACTATCTATCTACCTATCTATCTATCTATCTATCTATCTATCTATCTATCTATCTTGGGGTGCACAATTTGATATAGATTTTTAGGGTCGAGATTCGATTCAAAATCAATTTTCAATTAAAAATTGATTCACTCTTCAGAGCATAAATGAATTTGATATATATCTGTGATTAGTTACTTTCCAATATTATTGCAGTTGACAGACGAGAGGAGAAACTGAATGAATTAATTGCAGGTAAACACTACACAATATTAACCTTGAGTAGAATTTATTTATTTCATTCAACTACACAGTCCAATAGTTAACTGCCAAACTGTCAAATTGTTCAAAAAAATATTTATGATAAAATTATACTATATATAAACTATATATGATTGTCTTTAGCTACAAATGGTGGGCCAGAGGTAATTGGAACTACAAAAAAAAAAAGCAAATATAAACTGCACAGTGCAAAGAAAACTATTTTGGTAAAATGTGATCTTTTACAATTAGTTTTAAAGTGCTGTACTCCAAAAACAAACACAAATGGCTCAGGTAGTACATTAACAGCTAGTTTCCCTTTTGAAATGAGCAACTGATTAAACACATAAAATCATGACTCAAATATTCTCAATTCAGCATTTAAGCATTTATGATTGAGTGATTTTCTTAGCCCGCTCAGAGTTTGGTGGGAGTTTAGTGCATTGAAACAAAGTTTGTTGGTTTGCTGGAAGATTAACTTATTTTAGCTTTTTGCCATCTTTAATCTTAATCTCTGGATGATGGCGTGACATATGAGCTTTCATATTTGTTGTATTTCTTTGGTTTGCAAATCCTGCATATAGCATTTTCCTTATTGAGGTCTGGCTTCCCATCCAGGCAATAAAATCCAAAATGCTCCCAAACACTTGCCTTTATTGAGGATGGGGCAGGCTGAATTGTTTTTTCTTTAACAGTCGCCATTCTCTGTACACAGTTGACCTTCTCTGTTTCACTGATAAATTCCTTTAGGTAAAGAGTTTTAAGTCAGAGCAAAATCGACGAGATGCATCAGAATTGCTTAGTGTAAAGTCGACGCAGTGCCATCACAGAGTTTAATTCAATTTAGAACAAAGCTGTTACAAAATAGGGATAAAACAATATGAATACATTTTTGGATCTTTATGAATTGATTTTGAATCGGCAAAGCTTAAATCCCAGTTCAAATGTGAATCAATTTTTTTGCACACCCCTAATATACATATCCATCCATCCATCCATCCATCCATCCATCCATCATCAACCATCAACCGCTTATCCGGGGCTGGGTTGTGGGGGCAACAGTCCGAGCAGGGACGCCCAGACTTCCCTCTCCCCTGACACTTCCTCCAGCTCTTCTGGGGGGACCTAGCGTGTCCTAGGTCTTCCTCTAGGTCTCCTCCAAGAGGGACAGGACCCCAGCACCTCCTGAGGGAGGCGTCCAGGGGACATGAGAT